GCACACGACTTAGTTATTACTACAGCATAATGTATGTACGTTGGATAGAATATAGTGATATAAAGTAGTAAAATATTTAAAATATATACAGCATAATATCTTAACAACTGAAAGCTATTCTTTAAGAATTTAAAATTAGTTTCCATAAAAAAAAAAATAAAATAATAAACAAATCGAAAAAAAAACTATATTGGCCAATTCCGATAGGTAATCAAATTTTAGAAGTTATGGAAGTATCTAACAAAAAGTATGTTTCAATTTTTATAAGAAACTAATTTTATATTTTTAACACTGATTTCAGAACTATATTGGACCAAAGACAATATAGGGTATATCAATGAATCCATTGAAATTTGAGAGTGTAGATACTTTGCTTAGTTTTTCAAACCTTTTAAGTTGCTATAGAATGATTCATTCACAAATTTCGTTTTGGCTTAGGAAAATCGTATAACTTTTTGTTTATATATAAATATATATATATATAAAGTTACCATTTGTTGTAGAAATAAAATTTAAAAAATGAAATTGGTGTAGACTAACTAAACTACCCCAAGCATATAACTATGAAATATTTTTAAAATAAAATAAAATAATATTTAATTTATAGGCTCAAAAAATATTTAACTGATTTTGACAAAACTTTTAAAGATTGTGGTTTTAGAGATATCAGAAAAGTTTATGGAGTATAGTTTGAACGTTAAAAAATTAAACCAATTCTATATTATCCAATCTGCTTTGGGCTAATTTTCCCTCCGTTCTGGTCGAATTAGTTCATAAAGCGAAATACACGCAGATGCCATTTTACCCATGAACTGAGATAATTAAAATCAAGATACATCGATTAGTGACATTTTATTTTTGTTCATTTTTTCACAAGCAAAATTGGTTGTACAGCCAATATTTAAAATAATAATCATCAAAATTATATAATAAAGTGTATTTATGACTGTATTTCTTAAATATTTTTAACTTCAGTTAATATTCTAAGTTGGTAGTAACTAGTAAGTAACTTAAATAATTCAACGCGTCTAAACCTTTTTTAGTGGTATTGATAAGTTTATTCTCATCTAAGAGTAATCTTACGAATTATTTAGTGTGTCATAGTATAGTTTCCCTTTTTTGGCTTTTATTTAATTAGTCATACATTATAATATATAATATGTAAAATGTCGGTGAAATGCCAATGACAAACTTTGTTTAATTCTATTTTTTACATATACAATTAAATTTTACGACTTATATAGCGTCTTTATTATTACTATTCTTTCGGGTTTCTGGAACGACACTACTCTAAGTAGTTCACAGTACACCATATATGTATCGTATAAATACATGTGTTTTCTGGCGTAGTGTAGGTCATCGCGCGATGTTGTACGCGAATAATTATTGATCTACTAGACCGTATTATTATTATATTATTATATTTTTACAATAGCTACGAAAAAATCTTCTTTTGTCAGGAATTTATGGTTTTATTGTAACTATATGGCATGTCGGAAATAGGAAATAAATTACAATAACAGCAATAATTATTAAACGAAATATTATTGTCGGAGTTACTTTGTTCCCGGTATATGAATACAATAATATAATGATAATAATTAGTAATTACCTTAATAATTCAATAGTATAATTTATAATTATAACTATATTATATTTTATACCTATTCTCGTATGATAATGTGTAAATTTCTAATCCAAGCACGTTATTATAATGAGAGCTATTCAGCCATATAATACTCTACAAAGTATTTTTCAATAGATTCGCTCATCGATGAATTTATGTACGTATGGTTGTTATAATAGAATACGTAAATATAGGAAAATCATATTAAAAACGCATTCTAATTTTCAGCGTCTTAACGTTGCTTATAACTTATAAGTTATGACTCTTGTTTAGTTATGTAATATTTAATTAATTAAATTTCATTGCACATTTAATATGTAAATATTATTTCATTCAAAACATCTACCATTTAAAAAAAATATGCAAAGAGTTAAGACCAAAAAGTTATGATGGTAAAACTAACTTGTAATATCAATTTATAATAACTATAAGATTTGCTGAAATTGTCCATTAAATATTTATAAAACTAATATATTGTTAAAGGTACTTAATTTATGCTTACAACGCATCCATAATCTAACCACTTTTTACAGCCATTTTTTAGTTTTAATTCAGTTCTATCATGCACTTTCTTTCATTAATTTATGTTAACTCCATGGGTAGTCATAAGTAACATGTTAAGGGGGCAAAAAAAAAAAAATACAAATTTAAACTAAGTATAAGAGTAATGTTGTTTAAACATATAAACGTGCAATATTTATAAAATTAATATTTGTATTATTTCATTATAGTTAATTAAATTAAGTTTTAATAAGTATAGGAAGAAAATAGAAGATAAAATATAATCAAATGTATTATTTGGTATCAGTAAATAAGTCCTGCACATTTCTTTGTTATATTCATTTCATTCTAATGTAGTTAAATGATCTATTTTATGATATCTAATTCATTAGGTAATAATATTAAGAAGCTACGTACATATGGTAATATTTATTAAATTATAAATTAATATTGTTTTTTTAGGGGAATGGGGAATGTCTTTAGACATTACTTATAACGTATACGTTATACAATAAATATTAAAATATGATAGGTATTATTAAACACGATATTTCAAAAATAAAACGTCGTACATTACAATGCGGTCAATATCAATCATAAGTCCTCAACAGCCGCAGTACCGTGTCAGTATTGAACGATACTGACAATATATTTTGGCTATGTACTAGTTAATGTATGCCAAGAGTGATAATGCTCTTTTAGTACTAAACTTGCAGTACTGACTCAGTACCTGGCATTTAGTACCTAAAGACGTTATTTTCTCTGGTTTTAGAACTATATTTTTTATAAAGTCTCTACGATTTTTTTCCTTCTCTATTTATGGCACTTGAAAATCGTCGGGTGGGTTTACTTGAAATTTTTTGACCGTTTGTATTTAAAAAATTGGTAGAAATTCGTGAAGAAGACTAAAACTATGATTTTTTTTTCCGTTGACATACCCGGAAAATATCGTTGAAATTTAAATTAACGTAATATAATGTACATTATAAACATTTATAACACGCTATGTTAAATTATACGCTTATATAATATATATTTATACAAACGTGCACTAAAAACGATGATCACGATTGTTTTAACCTATGCCATTGGCCAATTAAATTAAATAATTGCATACCGCACGGCTAAAAACTCGTAAAGTCAATGCCCGTATCGAGTGTATAGTAAACTAATAAGTAATATGATACGTATAGGCACTTAATGCATTGCATTGAAAAAAAAAAACAGTCGTGACTTCGCCCCACGCCGTTAAACTATTATTACTATTATAAGGACCACGTTTCGTCGATTTAAATACATAATATTATATATATTGTACCATGTGGGATGAAAGACTTGGGCCCATCTCGAACTACCATTATAACTGGTACTACACTCGGTTATGAATGTTACCCCAAAAACTTCTCTCGTATGTACTCAAATAATTCATGCCATTGTACAACGGCTTTTACTCAATAGCTATGCACAGTTCGGAGACTTTAACCCCTTTACTCCGCCAGCAGCTTGTATTTGACATTTTATGTGTACATGCGACCAACTTAATATAAATATTATATGTATAATATAGAAGATCATATTTCAAAAGAAGAGGCTGTGTGTTTGAGTTCTACGTTGGCCTGGCCACGTAATCATTATTAGCTCGACGGCGCGTCATCTGTCGTATATGACCTTTATTGTTTATTGTATTTTAGCTCTTTAAACACGAGACCTTGACAGAAAGCGGTACTTAAAGACTCACGACAACTACAGAGTAGATGATGATGATGATGATGATGATGATGATGATGATGCCTGATGGTCATTAAACACGATAATAACTATTGACCTTTTATTTAAATTTGTTTTTTCTTTTCATTCGGTCGTACGATTATCGTATTTATTACAACGTTGAACTTAACCTAACCACTCAACTTTCTCCTTAACAGAATTTTATATTTTTAACTTTAATTTTCTAAAGTTAATTACGTTTTTTTTTTTTTTTTTTTTTTTTGATACATTTTTTTTACATCATAACAATATACAACCTATAAACTCTAAAAACATAAAATTACGTCACATTGACTAAAAACTTTGCAACCTTTCACACATATATAATGTCTCATAGCTGCATATTTAATGAAATGCAGAGAAAAGTATAAAATACATTAACTTTGTAATTTATATACTAGAAACTTCGTTATTGTTATAAACTCAATATTTTAATTAGTCTCTGCGCTTTAAACTCGATGATGAAAGTAATATCGATTGTATTCACGATGATCTCTTATGTCGAACAGTTTGACTAGGTACAAAATCAACAATACGTACAAAGCAATTTTGCACTAAACAAAGATGGGTCCTATGCAAATGTCTCCTATATTAATGAAGTTTGGTCCGTTAAATCGTGATGCGTAAATTATAGAAGTCCTGTAACGACAGTGATGGCTAAAAAGTTTCTATGTATTAGAATATATATACTTTAAAAATTTATATTTTTAAACAACTATGGTAAAATCGTTAATTTTTTACAGTATATAGTTGTCTGTTTTTTGTTTTCTTTACCCGCGTTCCTTTAACATCCTTTAATATGATATTTCCTGTCTTACATATACACTATAATCTATAATTTTTAAACTGTCAAATTTTTCCATTACTTAATCTATGCTGCATCAATAAACTTGTGTTTTGAATTAATTTTAGAATACATACTGTTTCTATTTACCTAATTTAATATACAGACGATTTCAACGACTATATCTCCACGACAACGTGAGTAACCCATCTTGGCCACAGTGTATTGCGTTATTTCATATTCTTATAACCGTTTTTAGTTTTGTAATAGTCCTAATATCACCATAACATACGACTAAAAATATTATACGTCGCACTAAAAATGAGTGGAAATAAGTTCCGAGATGATAGCATCGACGATCAAGTGACCCCTATCACCTCTACGATTTTCTCACAATCGTCACAATCGTCCTCTAAAGTGGCAAACCGCAGAAAAAGATGCGAACAACGGATACAGTGGCTTGTCAAGAACGATAAATCACAGAAGTACAACGGCGAGATGATAGAGGAGGCCTCGATAAGACCGACTATACACCACTCCATTACGTCTACTGACTTGACCAGTAATTTTATATTTAGTACTTAAGTTTAACCCAAAAGTTTCATTAATTAATACCGGAAAACTATGCAAGTTAAAGTTTTTACTGTCAACTGATTTGTTGATGACTTTAATGACGATGGTAGATTTTTCGTATTTTGTACTTTTTTATTATGTCTTCACAGTCTAACATATCTCTTCAGAAAATCCTTATCTAAGTATGGACGTTTTGGTAACATAAAATAATTATAATTTTCTAGTGCTCAAAAATATAATTGATTTTCTATAGCTATGGTTACTATCAAGACTCATTTGGTTAAAAAATAATTATAGCCGATGAATTTTGCAACTCAATAAGGTAGTTTAATGACAAATTATAAAATAAAAATTGAAATTCGATTGTTTTCGATTATTTATCAATAGTCAGAACGTAATCAAAAATTCTCTTTATCGTGTTATGTTTCGAGTTTTTACAATTTTACTTTATTTAATTCCGTCTAAACCGAGTGAACACAATAGTCGGGTTGATTAATCGTCGTATAATAATAACATTATGTTATTGTATTATATAGTTTATGGTACACGTTAGATGTGAATATAATGCGATATACGACGAGTTATGAATGTATTATGATATAATTTATATATTATATACTATTAATATTGTGCTCGTATCACGTTATATGTATTAATGTATTATAGTATGCCATCGTATTATTTTTTCTCGTATTTTTGATAAGTTAATTACATGCATACATCCTCAAAGACCTCTAGGATATTTATGTCGTTATTCACAATATTATAATAAACTGCGTAAAATATACATTTAAAACAACGCTCGTGATATTATTTTATATTTTACACAGTGCAACTTTAAAAACAACTTCTTGTTTTGTTGTAAATATTTTTCTTTATAAAACGGTTTTTGGTGTAGCATGAAAAAAAAACAGACTCAAATAACCTTATTTAGTTTGTAAACAGCAGGAGATAGAAGTTTTTTTATGTTTTACTTGGTATAAAGTTTATGGAAAATTACGGTTAAATCATTATCAAGGTAAATTACCATATTATAAAAACTTATTCTCGCTTTTCATTCGACTAATAAACAGCAATAATAAAATAATAACAAAACAATTATATTTAATGATATTCACTATTGACCAGCTCAAACGGACGTCGCAGATGACGATCTCCCGTCATTTCAAATTGGATATAGGTATACCTACTATCGATTCGAACGATATTTTATTTTACTTTTCAGAATCGGCATTTTGCGCGCACCACTTCACAATGACGTGTAACGGAAGGAGTTGTCCTGTTTTTAATTTCGTCTGCAGTGGGACAATCATTTCCACGAACTCAATAAACAAATTATAGTATTATCAATCCCAAAGCCCAATCCAAATCAGATACGTACAACGTCCGTTTTACATAACGTAACGTGTCGATTAAGGAGCTAATAATTTTCACAACCATAATATTAAATATTAAACGTAAGTAATATATTATACGATGCTTGTAAATGCGTGGAACTAGCACAGAATATCGTAATTACAGTCGGCATACTAAAAATTGCACTCTGCAAAGTGTTATAGATAATAATCATATTATTATAATTTATCGTCTCACACGGCGTTAGTTTAAAGTTATTTTATAAACAAGTGAATTTATTTGATTATTTAACGTTAATTAAATGTTATTGTTTTGTATTTATAATGATATATTTAAGTATGAGTATCAAAATATTATTATCGTTCTAGTACAGATTTTTTATCAAGTCTGTTCGGTATTTTATTATTTCATATCGATTATTTATTCAAGTTTTGGATTTTAAGCAAATTATACTATTATTATACCATTGATTGTTGTTTGCGGCTGCAAACAGTAATATTATAATTATTTCATAGTAATGCACTCGAGGTTTTAACTAATATGCACAGTAAAAAAGTATATTAATAAGTGTATTTTTTGTATAATTCTTACTTCAAAATGTAAAAAATGGCTACTATTATCGTATTATGTATTCACGCTGTAGACTGCAACTTTCTTTGATACATCTTAGTAGTATTAAATTGGTTTTGCTAAAAGTAAAGGTGTAATATAATATACTTAAGTGGCTTTTGAAATCTATTGTAGCAATTTTTTTTGGAAAACAGAATTGGTATGGCATGGCATGATTTAGATGCAACTCGTAGTTGTAATACGGTACCCTTTACTGTGTAGTGCAATATAATCTTTCAGCCCTTCCGACACTATTTATTATTACCAATGGCCAAAAAAGGTCATTGTGGTCCGCAATTTTTGAGAACCCGATTACATATTAAAATATATGATGAACCTTTTTCGACACTTTTCCGTTCTATTTTTACAGCCGAGCGTCCGACCTCTGACTTGACAAATATGTTTCGGCAGTCGGTGCGTATACTATTATATTCATTCACTATATATAAAAACCGTATTTCAAATATTAATTTTATTTTATCACTGCAATAGCTATCAAAAACACTACTTCACTTCTTCCTTCTTCATAGAACATCAAAAGTATAAGCGATTAAAAGTTTCTAATAACACAAAACTATTTAAATGTCCACGAAAATAACTCAATAAAAAATTTGTCTCATGCATTAATTATTATAATATCATGCGGGTGAAAATCCACCAGAAATTAAAATGATATTTTCAGGACAAAAGTTTTGGTCGGACGTTGTAAGTAATATATATTCAATAGTGTAAACATAAATCTCGTTGAAATATTGCAATGCGTTAGTAATAAGTATTGCTCAGCCAGCTGTCGACTGTTCAATTATAAAACAATTACAAAGTTAAGACAGTTCCATAAAATAATAGTTTAAATTATGTGTTTTATAAATTATTGTATTATGCACGGGATGTTGTGCTTAGATACTATATTGCATTTCCCGCAGAAACACTATAATAGTATAACATTTATTTCATTTTGAATCATTTTAAGACAAGTAAACCATAAAATAAATAACGGAATTGGGCATCAAAAGTTCGTAAGATCTGTTGATATTTCCGATTTGTACTTTTCAGACATACTGAAGATATATTATTTAAAATGAATTTATTATATTTATTTCCTTTAAAAATAAACTATTATAACTACCTCGCGGGTCTTTAAAACCTGTCATACCATAAAATATAACACATTCGACTTAATCTATACATATCAACAGTAATAATATCATTATTGTCTTCATATTTTAAACAGGAACGGCCTTTAGAAGAGTTAGTAAACCTTACGATAATAACAAAAACTCCGTAGCAGATACTGAAAGCGTAGAAGCCCGTAGTGCGAATGATCATAAATGCTGCGAACGGTATGGTCTTGTAGCAACGCCTGGATGTACCGGTACGTTCAGGATGTCCATCGTTGGCAATGCCGTCTTAGGACCAGAAGCAAAATATTTAATAGAGTTCACGGTGTGGAAGACAATGACAAATCCCGGACAGAGAAAGCTATGGTTTACGGTTAGACATGCGATGTCACCCAAAGTCGCCGTCGGCATACGAGCTCTGGAAGTCTGGGCGGACCGGAAAGACGACTATCCGGCTAAAGTGGTGTTTTTGCAGAAGTGACCATAATATGCACATACATACACTATATTTTAATCAAGACCTACTAGTAGAAAATTTTTGAAGGTTTAGTGCAATATTTGTTTTTTATCTAACACACTAGCATCATAGCAAATTTGCAATCACTAATTATTATTATTAAACTTAAAACTTGGAATATTATCTGTGCTTGTACATTGGATTTTTTACAATATTTCAATTTCGATTTAACATATGAGAGTATTTTTATTCAATATAAAATTATATAGGTATAAGTAAGTACTTATAACTTGCACACACATTTTAATATCATAAAAAAATACAACGTATAAACACAGATTATGTTTTAATTTTAATTTTGATATGAATCAATATTTAACTAGTGAAAAATACGAAAAAAATTATATTAAAATTTATAACAACAACAGACTAGTTCTACTGAAACAAATTTAATATATAGCACGTGGATCAGAGAAAAAAACAAATAAAGCGTTATTGTCATCCTCTTAAGAAATTACAATTGCATATTTTGAAAACATAGTAAGTATATCATATAGCTAATTTGACAGAAATTATGCCCAAAACGGTTGTATCTACTTATATGTATTTATTAGGTATTAATTTATCTTATCATTAACTGGAAAACATGTGATAAGGATAATATGTATGCCAGCTATAGTACCCACTTGTTATTGCGAAAAAATGCATCAGAAATACTGCGTTTTTGCCAATAACTGTTCCATTAACTAAACTAACCACATGCGATTTATTATTTATTTCATTTTACTATTCGTCCATATCATCAACTCTAATATGATTTTTAAACCGTAATTCAAATTATTCATGTTCGACTGTACCTATAATAAGAGAATAATATAATAACTTATAATTGACCGTGCATTTTCTAGGAAGGAGGTATTAATTAAAAAAATAACGCAAATAATATTTATTGTACTTAAAAATATCGTAAAAAGCATAAAAAAAAAATATGAATATTATTTATTATTTATTACTTTATTACTGTACCTAGTGCAAGCCTTAGTACAAGAATAAAATATATGCTAATCTTACATAATATCAATATGGTACCACTTCTATGTTTATAGTTTAATATTATTGTATAGTGAAATAATAAAAGGTTTGAATAATTCGGTCAAAAGTTTGCTTTTTACGTGTTGAGAATTTTATACGCACCTATTTCCTAAACAAATCCCAAAGTCATGGATATAATAGACGTGTTTACAAATTTTTTTTGTTTATGCTTTAGCAGTACCTACATATTTTTTTCTAATAATTATTTTTAATTTAAACGGCTCTTAACTTGGTACGTAGAATAATTTAATTTTTTTTAAACGGAGTGTTTTAGTTGCTGATAACATAATTAAAATAAAAACATTATAATACTACAGCCAAAAAAAATTACTACGGTTGCCCATTATCCATTCGTAATAACCAATAAGTCACATTGTGTCATAATTTATTTGTAGACTGTTACCATTTACCGTGGTTTTTTATCATGGCTAAAGTACAGCAGACAATATACTATCAGTTATTAACAATTTTTATCATACTACCTATATCAAATCGAAAAAATGACATACGTTGTAAATTAATACACACTAACTAGCAGCTGTTTTTAAACTAATAAAAAGGTCCTACACGATGGCGTAAACGTGAAACTGACTTTTCATTTAATTGTATTTACACGGAAAGACTCATGACATCATAATTTTCTCGGGAAAAACAGGTAAACCACTTAAAGGTCACAATGAAAATGAAAAAAGTAATAATAAATACTAATTTCTTAAACTTACTAACCTGTTAAATATAATATGACAGTTTAACAAAAATGGATTTAGAAGTTGGTCTCAAAAATATATTACATACTATCAATCAAAAAAAATGACATTATTAATTTATCAATTCAGAATGTATTAAAAAGAAAACTATCTTTCATTTTAAAAAATAAAGATAATGTATATCATAATATATATAATAAAAATAAAAATAATACGTCTGCAGTTAAGTATTTTTTTTAGAACTTTTAAGCCTTATGTCTACAAATTTTCAATCTACATTTTGATTAGCTGAACTCGTGTATTGAAAACTTTGTATGAATAATATCGTGATAATAAACTCATCTGTGATTTCGGTTTTTTTTTTTTTTTTGTTAGGGTAGTCACAATGGTTGAGTCTTAAAATAGCGTTTTGATTATAAAAATGAAAATATTTTTTATGTAAATTGTTACGCATATTGCTTAAATTTAATTTTAATAAATCAATCATACACAAAAACAAGGTGATTTTTAATGTTTTTGATACTATTCAATTAGTTTACATATTTGTAGAAGTGAGTTTCACACGGTACACGTGGGTTCTTAAAAAGTAGCAAAAGACATAAATACAAAGTTAGTCGCTTTGAAATCTTTCTCTGTTAGACGACGAGCTTGTATATACGAAGCAACTGTTGCTGCTGTTAAATCAGATTATTCTATTTAAAGTTAAAAATAGTTAATAATAAGTTAAAAATTTGAAAATAGATATATAATAACATAAAAAATCTGAAATTTTAACTATGAAGTTTACATGTTTTATAAATATTATAAAATACTGAATATTGGTCAACTTTACTTCAATAATAACCTATCATATAATTCTAAATTTAAAAAATTTCGTTATTTTTTGTTATCTATTAACGAAAAAATATTTCAATACGATTTGTATTTATTGTTAGTTACTAAAAATATAACAAAAGTTAGCATTTCAATCAAACAGAGGTACAAAATTATAATAAATTACGAAAATAAATGCTAAGTTTAAAAAAGTCAAATTTATTTTAATAAATTATACTATCAAAATAGTACAAGTAGATTAGTAATCGCGTTTTTTTTATTTTAAGAACAATGCAAATTTTACAATTGTAACTTTAGAAACTCGATAAATACTTGTTTGTTTTTCGTAGTATTAAATAAAATAAAACTAATTAGAAGTAGAATATAATAAGCATTTTATTAACATTGACTCTACGATAAGTTATTTAAACCCATTCTGTTATTCTCAAAGTTCCGGACAAAATTGTCGAATACTTTTTAATTTGTGTTAGTACAGTTTAAATTAAAGTAGCTACGTTAAATCGTTAATTATCTAGCTGTAATATTCTATACTTATGTAATGTATATATTACCCATAAAAAGTACTTTATTATTTGCTACAGTTTTTGATTATTTACAAAATGAATACATAAAATTTAGTTTATGTTGTGCATTAACCATGCAAACATTAATTATAATAAACCAGTAGTGGTTAAATAATTTACATTTAAAACTGCTAATGAGAACTGTTTTTTGAAATTTATTTTTATTTTTAGATTGAAGCGATTAATGTATTGATATTACATGAAGTGTATGTTTGTGTGTGAGTGTGTATTTTTTATATAATATGTATACACGTATTATAAAAAAAAAAAATACTTTGATCTTTAAATTTTAGGGTGGTTTTTGATAACAAATTAGATCATGATGGTACTTTCAAAGATCAGAACTGAAAATTTTCAGTACTTTACAAAATTATTGGGAAAAACAAAAAAAATAAATAAAGAAAAGTTGATTATCGTTACACAAAACAAATTTTCGAAGTAGATTTTCTTATTTTATTGTATGAAATTGAAAAACCAATAACCGTAGATACTTGAAATTGTCACTAAATGTTTATAGGTACTAGAATTTTCTACACATGTTATATTTTTTAAATATTTTGACTCTTTTAAAAATATTTAAAGGTGTTTGAAATTTTTGAGTTTTTTTTATACATTTCAATAAAAACTTTTAAATTTTATTAAAAATCTTAAAAATATATAAAAAGTATAATTATTAATGCTTGGAAGAGTTATGAATGAAGTATTGCCGTAGCGGACCAAAATTTTACGGAGTACACCACTCTGCTTGTTTAAACTTTAAATGCTCATATACGTAATATTATATTAGTATACATTGCGATTGCAGTGCAATATAACAATCGACCAACCTCTACTAAATTACGTTACTGTATGCAAATAATAATTATATTAAAGTATCTTGTGAGGATGTATAATTTAAGTGTGTGTAATTTGAAATTATATATAATACCACACACATACATTTGTCATACGTATATACTATATTATATATGTCAAAGTTTACGAGAATAATTTAAAACATCAAACATGATAAAGTAATGTGAAACGATTGTCATATTATTAATTATTATATTTGCACATAATATGCTAAGTTATATCTTATTATCCGCTAGGTTCGCTTTCGAGCATTGTTGTTATTAAATAGTAAATACGAGTACATCAGCCATCTCGCGAGCGTACAAAAATAAATACCGACGACAATAAATTGATATTGATGAAATTTATTTGAGTACATGGTTGTTGGTAATAAATTATATTGTGTTTAATCCACACTTGACATGGATTCAGTATGATTACAAAAATATATTTTTTTGAAAATTAAATTACATTTACCATAAAAAGTCTTACTGTCGTATACACCGAAATACCATTTATATTAAATGTATTGATTATTTGAAACATTTTTTAAATGTTTAATTTTCTTGATATTAAATTATACCGTTATTAACTTGGTCAATATATATAAGTCATAAACATTGGACTTATTAATCTTGCGCGGTGCTCTTAAAGAAACATGTTACCACGAAAAATGTATAATAGAATACAATGTTTCATCAAAGTCAAATTTAACCGACAGATGTTGAAGATATTGAAATATTTCATTACACTGAATTTATTTCAAATTATAAGACTCAACCATGTTATGTGTAATACAAAAAAAAACCAACGTTCTACATGATATAGTATCGAAAACAAAACTCCTTCCTCGGGGACGTAATATGAATGTACGGCTGTACGAGTAATAAAGAATATGTATGCAATATAAAGAAAACAATTTAATTTAACAAACAATTCTGTTTGAATTTTATATGTATAAATAGTTATAACTTATAATAAACAACGGTCACAG